GTTTTTTTTTCAGTACCGTTCAGCACTTTGAAATGTTAAGGTGCTCTATGTTATTCTCATTAAATATTGTAATAAATATAGTTAAAAACAATAACAACATAAAATGCCTAAACATTTCAGGCATATTATCATTAATATTATTATTCTACTAACAAGAACAACAAAAGAAACAGTAGTGGGATATACACCCTTATTTGTTCACATACATGCACACAACAGGGATAGGCAAGTTGTACCCTCCAGATATTTTAGTCTCTCAACTGCCATCAGTCCCAGGCTGCACGAGCAATGGCAAGAAACCATGGATATCCTAATCCAACACATTTGAACCAGGGTGTCCACAGGGAAGGGGTTCAAAAAGTCAAAATGGCAGCCATCATCATGCAATCAACAGCCCACCCTTTTTCACAATGCACATATAAAAGGGGGCAAGGGTTTGATTGCACGGTTGTAGGCATCATCTTGACTTTGCACACACACACGCACCCCCGAATACCCTGTCTGGAAACTATCACATTGCTAGTGAATCTGCTGCTATGTGATACAGCAGGTGAGTGCCAGGAAGTCTCCAGTGTGTCCAGCACTAGCAAAAAGGTGTGATAAAAATATCAATCTTTTAAAAAGACAGAGAGAGAGAGTTTTCTGTGTTTTTCCGATGACATTAATCAATAAAAATAAACACTGTTCTCCTCCCAGCAAAGAAAAACAAGTAATTTTATAGTCCATGCAAAAAGGGCCTATTCTCAGTCTTTGGCATCCTCAGTTACTAACAAGGATGAGGCAGTGAACAATGACAATCTTCCATCAAAATCCAGAAAAGTCCAAAGCTACAGTCCTGGGATAGATAAGCAAGCGGTCTGGTTAATTTGCTTCCCAAATGTATTCCATCTGAGGAAGAACCTATTACTGTACCCTTGCAGGTTCCTTTGATGTTGCCATGCCAAGCAAAATTTCTTAACCATCCTTCCTGGTACCCTCCAGATGCGTTGGAAAACAACTCCCATCATCCACAGCCAGGTTATCAGTGGGGATGATAGGAGTTTAGTCCAACATGCCTGCAAGGCACCCCCACAAAGGAAACCCTCATGGGGAAAACTTATATCCTATTTGATAACATCAAAAAGAGTTGAGGGACCAGGTAAAGTGACCTCTTGGAGCAACATGGATCCCACGCCGGAGAGTCTGGGAAAACGCCCCTCCCCCAGTTCGGTTTGGGGACTCCAGCCCCAGCCAGCCCCGCTCGGGTTCGGGGGGGGGATCAGAGGGGGCGCGGCAGGATGGAAAGCCGCCCGCTGGGGACCTCTTCCCACTCACCATTTTCCTTGCTGTAGCCCCAGGTCACGGCCTCGGGCATGGACTGCTTGCGCATCGTCTTCTCTCGGGGGCTTCGGCACCGGCTGGCCGCGAGCTCCCGAACCCCGCGCCATTTACATGACCACGCGATCCAC